TTGACTGGTTCTGGGGATGTTGGAACAGATTTTCTTTTTTGTTTTTTGTTTTGTTCTTTGTTTTTTTTCTCATCGGAGCACTGCTTTTTTTTGGAGAATATTTTAAATGGACTATAGCTGGACACTTTGCATAGAGGGGGTGCAGTCGAATTCAGGAACTGTGTATTGCTGAGTTTTGGGAACGCAGCAGCAAGTCAGAGTACAGCAAGTCAGAGTACAATCCTGTGCTCTGAGCAGATGAACGATTCAATATGACATTTCCTCTTGAAGGGAGGAACATCTTTGACGCTCTGTTTCCTTCTGCTTCTATGTGATACTGCTGATGACACAGTTAAAGACTTATCCTTCAGGGGGTGTGGGGACACATGGCCCCAAGACTCTTATGGTTCAAAGCTGCTGTGGTAACAGAGGTAAACCTGATGGACTTGTCCTGGCATCGAACCTTTTTGCATGTTGGAGAGGATCACTGCTCCAAGATACACTTTCTCCTCCAAGACCAGTAGCAGGATGGCTCCTGACCAGTTTCCCACATATAGACCAACTCACATAGACACACACACATACAGTCACGTAATAACACACCCGCACACATGCTTAATGACTCAAAGAACACACAAGGGTCCACATGGGAATGATGTTTTCTTTCATGCACTAACATTCACGGATACAAGGTCTGATAGGGGAGTTTTAAATAGGGGGAATCTGCGCCAACCTGGGTTTATATTAAAAGTTAAATAATTTTAATCATTTCCATTGGGGGGAGGATAAGAGTAAACTAATACACAGTTACAGTTTTAGACGGAAATGCAACTTAAGATGCTGAAATGTAGAAATAGTTTTGGAATTTCTTTAGGTAATCCATGAATTGAGTGTTACAATTTGTAAAAAAGGGTTAAATGTTTTCTATATATCTACAGGTTCCCTGAATGAGATTATATGAGTTGCAGTGATTTTGAGCTTATATGAACAAAATAATGAGCTGAAACATGCATAGGATGTTCAGGCTGAATACATACTGGTATAAAAAATAACTTTCAACTGCCAGGCATTGTTAGGTTTTATTTAATTTTTTTGAATAGACACTGAAAAAAATTGCTGAATAAACATACAGGGTACAAATAATTAATTTAAATGTAGTGAATTTAATGGTAATTTAAGGGATGAAGGGAAAGTAATTCTGGATAAGAATATCTGCACTTAGATTTTGAGTAAATAAAGAATTGCTCATTAAAGACACTGCTTATCCTGATAAGAACACTGACTGCACTCTCTTGTGTGCCAGAGGATCCCGGAGGAATGGATTGATACACTGTGATAAGAAAACACCATGAGGACCACCACATGGATTCAGCGTCTATCTGCCATCGGAGAGCATGGAGACCAAAGGGGCTGTGGAGGAGGCCATACGAGACTCTGATTGATTATTTAGATTAATGAGTGACAGAGACACCGAATAAATTCATCATCGTTAGAGATGTTCATTATTTGCCTTTAACTCGGACCAGGATAATTCTTGATTTTACCCAATTGTAATTTATATGTTTTGATTTATTTTGATTTTGTTTTGATGAAAATCATGGAAACATTTTGCTCCAGACCCACCAAGATCAAGTTTTATGCCACTTTTTCTTTGATGTAGAAAGACTCAGAACCTGATTGGCTTAAGTAGTTGGTAATAATATTTGTCAGATTCAAAACAGGGTTTCCTTGCTCAGATTGGCCGAGAGTGGGATTTCCCTGGGGTCACCCCGGTTTTTATTACCTTTTAGAGAAGGTAGGGTTTTCCGGTGGAGAACGGCCCGACCTGTCCTGTGATGTCCCCTACTGTGACTGAATGATTGGTAAAATTGGGATGGATGGTTTATCCATGAGGAGCGGTCACGTTTAGGAGGCCTCCAGGTGGGAGTGAGAGTAGATGTATTTTGCCTTATTAGATTTATAGGCTTAGGTTA